GGCCAAAGGCCTGAGGCAGTTGTGCACTTGGGAGCAGCTTAGTTTGTAATTTGTTTGTGGAGTTCTGGAGAAGCCAGTTCTTCCAGACCTGCATTCAAATTCTGACTGTACTTAATTATTTTTAGCTTAGGAGTAAAATTAAATTTCGGTGGAAAGTATTTTTATTTGCAGCTGACAGGCATGGGGACCTACTCTTTCTAATTGCAAGGATCTTTGGGGTTTAACACAGCCAAGTGCTCTGCCTTGAACAGTTATTTCAAAGCTGTTGTTTACAACAGGGTGCTTCCAAGGGTCTGATGGTGATATTATGTTCAGAGCTGTTACTGGTTGTTCCTGAAATTTGTTGGAATGACTGAGACAGTGACTTAGAAACGTTAAAGGAAACTTAACTTCATACAGAAAATGCCCAGGCTGAATGGCAAGTATATTATTTTAGGAGCTGTTGTTTGTATAGGTCCCTGTTGAAATTTTTGGTCTAACAAATCCGGGTTGTGCAAGAGCAAAAACAAAATGTAAAATTCAAACCTGTGTTTCAGAATGCTGTAGTGGTCAGAAGTCTGTTGCAGTGAAACACTGTAGCCTGTTTTGTTCAATGCTTACCTAACCATTTTTTAATAAAATATAAATTTGGATCATGCACAGGCTGTAGCAACTACTGTAAAAGCTGTATGAACTCAGACTAAGAAAAATGTTTCAAGTTTTACTTGTTTATTACAGAATCAGATGTAAAAATGGCTTTTTTTTTTTTCTATTCAGAGCTAACTCATGAGTTTCTGCAGATACTGGAGAAAACACCCAGCAGGCTCAAGAGAATTCGAAATTGGCGGGTAAGAAGTTTTGCTGTACCAGTGTCTGGCAAGAAGAGATGAACTTCTAGGAGAACTATGAACCAAAGTGAAAAGTTTATTTATATTGTATGTGCTGTTTCTTCCTGTGGCTGAGTCAGGAGGAGGTGAAACTTTGAGTCAGCTTTTATCCTCACCTCAAAGCTAAATTCCAATGGAGTGTCTAAGTATTCTAAGCTGTGTATTTTCTCACTTCTTTCTTTTTTGCTTAGGCAAATCAGGCAGCTAGGAAACCTAAAGGTGATGGACAGGTATCTGAGAACTCACTTCTTGGTTCATCTTTGGTCCAGAATTCCATTTTGGTGGATACAGTGACTGGTGTAGCTGCAAACACAAGTTTCCAAAAACCATCAACATCATTTCCCGCACCAGTACCTCTGACCTCAGGAAGTATTTCTGTTCCAGACAGTCATGCACCTGAAAATTTGGCAATATTAGCTACAGGAATGCCAAGTACCTCATATAGTTTGGCATCACACCAGGAATGGCCTCAGCACCAAGAGCAAACACGGACAGAACAAATATACTCTCAGAAGCAGGAAACGTTGCCTGCGAGTCAGTACAACATGAACTTCCAGCCGGGGACATCTGTACAGATGCACTCTGGAGTACATCA